CATCGGTTGGCTTGTTTAGGCCAAGTGTGGTGGCTCACACTGGCAACCTTGCACTTTGTAAGATGGGAAGATGACTCGAGCCCAGGATTTCCAGACCAGCCTGGGCAACATGGTGAGACCCCAAATTTTAAAAAATTAGCTGGGGTAGGGTGCGGTGGTTCACGCCTGTAATCCCAGCACTTTGGAAGGCCAAGGCGGGCAGATCACCTGAGGTCAGGAGCTCAAGACCAGCCTGGCCAACATGGTGAAACTCCATCTGTACTAAAAATACAAAAATTAGCTGGGTATGGTGGTGGGCACCTATAATCCCAGCTACTTGGGAGGAGGCTGAGGCAGGAGAATCCCTTGGACCCAGGAGGCGGAGGTTGCAGTGAGCCGAGATCGTGCCACTGCACTCCAGCCTGGGCGACAGAGTGAGACTGTCTCAAAAAAACAAAACAAAACAAAACAAAACAAAAAAACGAAAGAAAAAAAGAAAGTCCTAAATGTGAGTTGTCCAGGTTCTTGGCGTATTGGACAAAGAATTAAACAGAACACCACAGAGTGGGCACAGATTTCTTGAAGACAATTCACAGAGTGGGCACGGGCTAGAACAAGCAGCTGATGAAGAGCCTCCTCAGTTAGGGTTTTTATTAAGCAAGAAAGAACCCAGCAAAACCCTTAGGCACCCACCAGAGGCCTCCAATTGACCATACCCCACGAAGGACTGGCCAGCAGCCAGTCGGGGCTGAAGTGGCTCGTTGTCACCGCAGCAAGGGCGTGACCTATATGTGGCGCCTGCAGCTCTCCTGCTCCTGCGAACTCATGCACCTGCTGTTCCCCTGCCCATGGGAACTTGCACCTGCTGAAACCCTGCTAACCCCAACTTCCCTATTCTCCTGCCTCAGTCAGGCCCAGCATGTGTTGGGTTGCATTTTAATCCTAGTTCTCAGCCTGGCAAGGAGGAGAGGAGGTGAGGCAGCTCCTTCGGGGGCCACCTCTTGCCTTGTGAGAGAGGCTTCAGGAGCATCTTTCAGGTAGCTGATGTGCTAGCACAAGTAGGGGAGGCTGGGCTACATCGGAAATCCCGGAGGTGCTGAGCTTCTGCAGAGTCAACTATCACTGGTGGAGTCCATCTCAGTGTGCCTGCTCTATGCTTCAGGACCCCAGATTTCCCCACCAGGGCCCCGCCCTTTGTATACCAGACCTGACTGCACCAGGTATTCAAATGTCTCTGAAGCTCTGTAGACTTGCAAATTTTTTTTCTTTTTTGAGATAGGGTCTTGCCCTGTCACCCAGGCTGGAGTGCAGTGGCAAGATCACTGCTCACTGCAGCCTTGACCTCCTGAACTCAAGCTATCCTCTCATCTCAGCCTCCCGAATAGCTGGGACCACAGGTGAGCACCACCATGCCCAGCTAATTTATTAACGTTTTATGGAGACAGGAATCTCTCTTTATGTTGCTTACATTGGTCTCAAACTCCTGGGCTCAAGCAATCCTCCCACCTCGTCCACCTGAGGTGCCAGCATTACAGGCATGAGCCAGGAAGCCCAGCTTGCAATTAGATTTTTGACTGGCTGTTGAAAACTGTCTTTCCTCTACAGAAGATAATGCCTTTCTCATAAGCTGCCCCCAGGCCCTCCTACTCTCAGACGTGGTGATTCATGGCTTGTTAACAGCCTGCAGGGCCATCAATACAATGTAGTAGGAAGCAACCCCTTCTGCTGTCTCTCCAGGCATTGTTCTCGCATAGTGTTAAAGGCTTGTGAAATCACACCTGCCACCGCATTCCCCTCCAACATGATATTTTCTCAGGTCACCACCAATGAAATCTTTTTTTTTTTTGAGACAGAATCTTGCTCTTGTTGCCCAGGCTGGAGTACAACGGCACGATCTCGGCTCACTGTAACCTCCCAGTGGTTTTGGAGACAAAAGTGGGTGAATTGCTTGAGGACAGGAGTTTGAGACCAGCCTGGGTAACATAGCAAGACTGTGTGTTTACAGGAAAAAAATTATTAGCTGGGCATGGTGGTGCATGCCTGTAGTTCCAGCTACTTGGGAGGCTGAGGTTGGAGGATCACCTAAGCCCAAGAGTTTAAGGTTAAGGTAAGCCATTATCATGCCACCTTACTTCAGCCTGAGCAACAGAGCCAGACCCAACTTAAAAAAAATTCTGTATTCAAATATCTGCCTATGATCTGGATATCTATTATTTAGAACTCACCTATTTCTGGAAGAAAATCGGAGGTGATGTCTTTGCTTTTTTTGTTTTTTTGAGATGGAGTCTTGCTCTGGCGCTTAGGATGGAGGCTTGATCTAGGCTCACTGCAACCTCCACCTCCCAATTTCACGTGATTCTCTTGCCTCAACCTCTCAAGTAGCTGGGATTACAGGCACCCATCATCAGTTTTGGATTAAGCTAATGGCTTTTGACAAAATGCATGTGGTATTGGGAGGAATAAAAGACAACTCCACCATGGGTGGCTAACATATGGTAATGAGCCAGGAGGTGCTGCAAGCCTGTAATCCCAGCATTCTGGCAGGCAGAGGTGAGTGGATCACTGGAGCCCAGAAAGTTAGGTCACCTGGGGCAACATAGCAAGACCCCACATCTAAAAAAATTTTTTTAAATTAGGCGGGTGTGATAGGATGCACCCATAGTCCCAGCTACCAACAAGGCTGAGGTGGGAGGATCACCAGACCTGGGAAGCTGAGGTACAGTGAGCCATGATCACACCACTGCATTCCAGCCCGGGCGATAGAGCAAGCCACGATCACACCACTGCAATTCCAGCCTGGGGGATAGAGCAAGACCCTGTCTCAAAAGAAAGAAAAGACACTGAGTGAGTTAATAACATTGCGGGGATCAGCTGAAGCACGTTGAGGTGGGGTTGTGGGGCTGGTGGAGCTGTGAGGAAGCTGGAAGAATACACGGCACTTGAGAAAAAAGTTTGCCAGGACGGCCATGAGGGAATGTCTGGAAAGCAAGAGATTTCAGAATTTTAGCAACAGAATTTATTTCACAATTTTATTCACAATCAGCATTGCTCTTAATATAAAACCAGTTAAGTTAAAAACAAAATAAAACATCTCTTTTTTTTTTTTGAGACAGAGTCTCACTGTTGCCCAGGCTGGAGTGCAATGGTGTGATGTCGGCTCACTGCAACCTCCGCCTCACAGGTTAAAGTGATTCTTCTGCCTCAGACTCCCAAATAGCTGGGATTACAGGCACCCCCGCACCACACCCTGCTAATTTTTAATTTTAGTAGAAACGTGGTTTTACCATATTGGCTAGGCTGGTCTCGAACTCCTGACCTCAGGTGATCCACCCGCCTCTGCCTCCCAAAGAGCTGGGATCACAGGGCTGAGATACCACACCCAGCCTAAACATCTCTTCTTTATGCCTGCCAACTCTTGACCAAAATCGGCATCTCTTGGAGGCACTAAGGTAGGGTGAAGGGACTTGTTGATGAGGGAGGGGCCAGAGTGTTAGAAAAGAAACTCTTCTTTGTTGGCAGAGATTCTTCTTCCATCCCTTTTTGTCGTTGATACCTCTTTTACTTAGTGGGCAGAGGAAACCTCATAGTGAATCATCCTAGAGAACCAAGTCCCAGGTCAGGAAGGAGTAGCTCATGTATTTGTGTCCTCCAACCTTCCTGGCCTTCAAGCTGAGAGCCCCGAACAGGAATGCAGAAAGAGGATCTAGGGCCTTACGAAGTAAGAAAAGCATGAGAGCAAAGGTGGGGGAGAATGGGTAGGGGCTGGAGCCATCCTGCCTACTTGCTTTAAGGGAGGTGAAGCCGTGACATGAGCACTGCAGACCAATGGGTCAACACCAGCCTCTGTGGTCAACAGACTCTCATCACCAGGGCTTGGGAGGCTGCGCCCCTGAGGAAGTGCCATGCCTGGGGCAGGGTTGGAAGCAGGCTGGAAAGGGCCTTGCTCTCATGGTCCTTTGTATAGGTTCCTATGAATCCACTTCTCTTAGTAGGTATACTGGAATTTATTTACCCAAGTTCCCTCCAAAAAGTAAACCACTAATTCCACCACGTGCACCTTGACAGCAGCAGCTGGGGTAGCCAGCATCCAAAATGCCTCCAGGGGCTCCTCCCGCTCCTGGTGCTAGGGTTTGAATGTGTTCCCCGAACCACAGTTGGAAACTTAATCTACAATGCAAGTGTGATGGAAACTTACTCTACGATGCAGCAGTGCTGAGAAAAGGGACGTTTAAGAGGCAATGAGGTCATAACAGCTCTGCCCTCACGAATAAATGAATGCTATTATCACAAGTGCGGGGCCCCCTCTTGCCTTCTCTTGTGTGTCCTCTCACCATGTGATGCCTTTTCCTATGTTATGATGCAAGAAGATGCTCATCAGACTCGGCCCTTCCACCTTGGACTTCCCAGCCTCCAGAACTATGAACAAATCAACTTCTATTGTTTACAAGGTATCCAAAACTCTCTGGTATTCTCTTATAACAGCACGGAATGGACTAAGACAGCTGGTATTCAAGCCATGTGTAGCCCCCTTCTGCCTCGTACCAGGGATGGTCTGTGTGACCCATAAAAAACAGAGAAGTGATAGTATGTTTCTTCTGTGATTAGGTTATAAAAGACATGTCAGCCTTCATCTTGGTCAGTCTCTCTATCTTTCTCTCTCTCAGATCACTGTAGATAACAAATACAGGACCTCTTACTCATCTCAGCTCCTACGAGAGTACCTGGCAGTTAGCAAATCCTTAATGAATGCTGGTCAAATGAAAGAATAAAGAAATGTGGCAATATTTAAGTAATGCAGTCAGTCTAAGCTAAGAGATGAGACATTTCATATGTAACTTTAATGTGGTGTATCTTCTCAGGAAGTCTTACCAAGTGATAATGTGGCAATGGAGAACAGAATAAAACAAACCATAGAAAGATGATATCACTTATTGATCTGAGAAAAAAACCAAAGACGATTGTAAACAAAATTTTCGACAGCACAAAAGTGAATCATAAAAAATAAATGGCACGCACAAATCTCCAAAATAAGTTTTTATTACGAAAACTTTTAACACAATTCAATGTTTTATTAAGACTAACAATGTTTTATTAATACAATCCAATGTTTTATTACAAAAACTTTTAATACAATTCAATGTTTTATTAAGACTAACAATGTTTTATTAATACAATCCAATGTTTTATTATGAAAACTTTTAATACAATTCAATGTTTTATTAAGACTAAAGTCAGGACCTTGCCCACCTACTGAGTCATAAGAAAACACATGACGAAAGTCAGCATATGGTCTCTAAGCTGACTTGAACTATTCCTTGACTAAGAATTCTAGGGTTATGCGGACTTTTCTGTTAACATCCTGACTTAGTTACTTTCTTTAACAGCGAGAATAAAATTCTTGGCAGGCTGCTCTACAGAATCAAGTGAACTACTAATGAAAATATTGCTATGAAGTGCAGAAGCAGTAAAGTACCACAAGAGGGGGCTATACATTCAAGAAAGAACAGTTGGTTAGTGAGGTTTCTCTATGATCGAAAAACATTAAAAATACCTTGAGAAGTTTATTCTATGCCTTCCTCTTTACAGCCCAGCTAAACAATCCCATAAACACGAAAAAATGACTAATGTTTTACAAAGCCCCTCAGTCTCCTTCAAGGGAGTGGAGGATGTGACGGATAGGCTGCTGTCACCCGCAAAGCTCTCCTTTCGTCTACCCTAATGTCTCATGATTCTGGATAAAGCCATTTCCCCGGTAAGGCGAGCGTATGCTGGTGTGCTGGTGTGAGGCTTCAGGCACAGGTTGGTGTCATTGTTCTTGCAGGCAACTTGGTGTAGTGAGAAGACCAAAGACCTCGGTGTCAGACCAGCATGAGTTCAAGCTCTGGCTGTGCCATCAGTGAGTGATTTCATTCCCGTAAGTCTTAGTTTATTCATTCACGTACAAGTTGTGAGAATTAAATGAGATGTAGGTAGAGTGCTTAGCCTAGAGTCTGGCACTTGTGTGTTTAATAATTAAGGGCAATTATTATTGCCTCTTGCCTGTTATTCAGTTCTATTGTCTGTAGCCACCTAATTCTTAGTCTAGTGATTATGAAGCAGGAGTCATCAAGATAAAAAATATAAGCTGATTTGTTCTTTTTGTTGGTTTTACATTAAAAAAAAACTTAGACAACCTGAGATATGTTGTTCTTTTTTTTTTTTTTTTTTTTTTTTTTTTTTTTTTTTTTTTGAGACGGAGTTTCGCTCTTGTTACCCAGGCTGGAATGCAATGGCGCGATCTCGGCTCACCGCAACCTCTGCCTCCTGGGTTCAGGCAATTCTCCTGCCTCCGCCTCCTGAGTAGCTGGGATTACAGGCAAGCGCCACCATGCCCAGCTAATTTTTTGTATTTTTAGTAGAGACGGGGTTTCACCATGTTGACCAGGATGGTCTCGATCTCTTGACCTCGTGATCCACTCGCCTCGGCCTCCCAAAGTGCTGGGATTACAGGCTTGAGCCACCGCGCTCGGCCATGTTGTTCTTTTTGATGATAAAACAAAACATTTAAGGCCGGGTGCGGAGGCTCACACCTGTAATCCCAGCACTTTGGGAGACCGAGGTGGGTGGATCACCTGATGTCAGGAGTTTAAGATCACCCTGGCTGACATAGTGAAACCCTGTCTTTACTAAAAATACAAAAATTAGCCAGGCATAGTGGTAGGTGCCTGTAGTCCCAGCTACTCGAGAGGCTGAGGCAGGAGAATCATTTAAACTTAGGAGGTGGAGGTTGCAGTGAGCTGAGATCACACCACTGCACTCCAGCCTGGGTGACAAGAGCAAAACTTGTCTCAATGAAAAAAAAAAAAAAAAAAAAAAACCAACATTTAAAGTGGAAAAGGAGTTAAGTATGACAGCAAGCATATGTATGTTGCATAAAACCATAGAATACAGATAGTAAAAGCACCGAAAGTCCATTCGATAGACAAAGCAAAGGCAATTTTTTTTAAATGGAAAAAATCAAGGGAAAAATACAATTTTCAATGCAAACACAGGTAGTATGAGTTACAATTGACCCTTGGTTTATAATTTGAAGGCTTATTCCACTTTATATATATTGTATTAATTCAACATATCTCAAATGTTGACTTTTTTTGAGTGGTTAAAATATTCTAAAGGAAACTAGAAAATACTCTTAAACAGCTTGCTATATCTTTCATAAAATAAACAAAAAGTATTTAGAAATTGCTGTGCTGCCTGAACTTAAATCACAAATGATTCATTTGGTTCTAGTGGAAGATGGTGGTTTACAGTGTTTGAAGGACCCACACACTCTACGGGAAGTTCCCAACACCCATCCCGGAAGTGATGAAAACATGCTCTCAATTCCGTGGTTTTCATCTCCCCGGCCAACAGTTAGATTCTCTGGTATCCAGATGATTGGCACCTTAGGCGGATTTTATATACACCCATACCCATAAGGCAGAGACCAACCACAATGGCCCCAATCACAGGAAGCACAACTGTGTAGTCAGATGGGCACTCATCCACTAAGAGAGAAAACAAACACAAGACAGTGGGTAAGGCTTGGTGATGCAGTCCGGAAAGGGGGCTAGAGGGGAAAGGATATGAGTTTTGGCATCAAAGCTTGGCTCTGAACTCCACCATTAACTGGCTTTGTGATCTTGGGCAGGTGATTTACCCTTGCAATTTCCTAATGTATAAAGTAAGCAAATATGTAAGATGTGAGAAGATTAAATCAAATAACCTTATTTTCTCCGTAATTAATATTCAATAATCATCATCCTCATTTCCTGAACTAAGAAGTCACTCCAGGCATACTTCCTGCTAAGTGGAATATGCCTATATAAGAAAGACCGTTTGTGTGACCAGATTACAGATGATCTCTTGAAAAATGTGATTTTTATCCACTTTATAAAAAACATTTTTGTCGATTCCAAGGTTTTACTGTATCCCTTTTAGCTAATATTAGAAAACAGACCAAATTATTTATGAGCTTAAAAGTGAGAGTTTATAAACTTATTGAGACTGTTTTTTTCTTTAGAGCACTAGAAAGCACTTACTCAAGTCATGTAAAATGTATTTGATTGAGTCAGAGACTAATAAATCTCAACTGAGGAAAGACGGAGCGGTCTTGGGAAAAAGGGGAAGTTGACAGAATACTCTGTAATGAAGAGACTGGGAGAAAAGAGCAAATAAATGAAGAACTATGTCTTAGTCATAGATAGCTAAAAAGATACACATGTGAGGTCATTGTTTGAACTAACACTGAAATTATGTCCTGAACCAAGGATCACCATCAGCCCAATTCTGTGTACCTGAGATCCAACAAAAAAAGGATCAGAAGAGGTCAGAGAAGACAGAGTGGAAATTAGAGATTCCAGGAAAAGGAAAATCTGGACAAGAAAGAAACTACTTGTAGTACACTATTTGACTTGACAGAGGGCAGTATTTATATAACTATAATAATGTATACCTGAATGCCTTGTTGATTTAACCAAAAATAGTTATATAACTATAAATCCTTATGTGCCATAGCAGGAAGTCCAAAATGGATCAATTAGGAACTATCATGATAAACCTTTTCGTTGTTTAGAGTTATGGAGATAGCAATGAGAAGAAATTGTTAAAATTAGTTAAAAGTATTTTGTATCTTGGGCAGGGAGGCAGGGGGACAGGGAGATGTTGCTTTCCATGATGAGACCTTTGGAGTACACGACACGTTGTTACTTATATATATTTCTATTTTTTTGCAGCCTGGAACTTTGAGCTCAAGTCATTTTCCTACCCCATCCTCCTGAGTAGCTGAGACTACAGGTGTGTGCCACCATGCTGGGCTAATTTTTTATTTTTTAGAGATGGGGTCTTCTACGTGGCCCAGGCTGGTTTCAAACTCCTGGGCTCAAGCAATCCTTCACCTCCCAAAGTGCTGGGATTACAGCACCTGGCCTATATTTCTTAAACAAAAAAAGAACTTTGACAAATTAACGAATTAAAATGAGTGAAAAAATACAAAAAGTGAAAACGCAATGTAAAGCACACACCTATTAACCCGATCATCCCATCTCTAGGAACTTATACCAAAATATATTCACACAAGCATGCAGAGATCTATTACAGCAATGTCCATTTTATGAGAGACAATTTAAATGAGGTAAAAATTAAAATAGTATTCAGACAATAGAAAATAATACGGCCATTAAGAAGAATGTGGTAGGTCACAGTGTGCTGTAACAGGGATTCCCTAAGCTCCAAGAAGCATCACATGAACCCAGACCAATGTGCTTGTAGGTCAGATGTGAAAAGATACACAAAAAACTGCGAAGAGGACTGGGAGGGATGTGGAGGGCAACTTTACTCTCTGTATGGTGTTATTAAACTATTAAATTATGTAACAGTGTTTAAACGTTTCTAAAATGCAAAAGAGCACGTGAAGGAAAGTAGCCATCCAATCTCCACATTTCTTCTGTTTGAATCAATCACTATAAACCTCTTTGGGCATGTGCTTTCTCTGTGAATGTGTGTGTGTGCATGTGTGCAAACTCACGTGCATGCTTAAAGAAAAATCACTCTGGCTGGGTACAGTGGCTCACACCTGTACTCCCAGCACTTTGGGAGGCTGAGGTGGGTGGATCACTAGGTCAGGAGATATGAGACCAGCCTGGCTAATGCGGTGAAACCCCATCTCTACTAAAAATATAAAAAATTAGCCAGGCGTGGTGGCACAGGCCTGTAGTCCCAGCTACTTGGAAGGCTGAGGCAGGAGAATCACTTGAACCTGGGAGGCAGAGGTTGCAGTAAGCTGAAATTGTGCCACTGCACTCCACCCCAGGTGAGATTGAGACTCCATCTCAGAAAAAAAAAGAAAACAGAAAAATCACTCTATTTTAAATAAATAGTCTATGACCACTATAAACAACTAAAATGATAGAGAAAAGCACAAATAAAAAAGTAAAACCAATTACCCCAAGACCATCCACCCAGAAATGTGGTTGTTAACATAGACAAACATTATTTCAGGCATCTTTCTTTAGAACTATAAGGAGGATAGGTTAGAAAAATAAATAGAAATACTTTTATTAAGATAGGATCATACAAGTCCTATTTCATTACATTTGTTAATTTCGATTTTACTTGCATTTAGTAGAAGAAAAAAATTTAAATGAAACTGAAGGAATTATCACACACCAATGTTTCTTTGTCATAGGAACTACCAGTTCATAAAGGGTCTCTTTAGAGTTCTAAAAAGAGATTATAAAGTATGCATTCAATAATTATGAAATACATTAAGAGGTTATATAGTAAATTGGACTTGTGTTTTCTAAAATTTGTTTCCACTTTAAACATTATCTATTGATACTGTCTTTGAAAGACTAGCACTAATGGATTCCCTTCCATCTCCCCTCTCTTCAACTCCAGTTTTTTTTTTTTGAGACAGGGTCTTGCTCTGTTGCCCAGGCTGGGGTGCAGTGGCGCCATCACAGCTCACCGAAGCCTCAAGCTCCTGAGGTCAGCCATCCTCCCGCCTTAGCGTCTCAAGTAGCTAGTACTACAGGCAAATGCCACCACACTCAGCTACTTTTTAAAATTTTTTTGGAGAGATGGGGTCTTACTATGTTGCCCAGGCTGGTCTTGAAATCCTGGATTCAAGTGATCCTCCAACCTCAGCCTCCCAAAGTGCTTGGATTTCAGGCGTGAGCCACTGTGCCCAGACAACTCCAAATTCTGAATAGTTATGTTACTGTTTTTAACGTCTAGGTTTATTTATTTTACAAAGTAAATTATGGTTTTATTGTGAAATTCTTAGAAAATTAAATCAAATATTTATTCTGTCCATTTCTTTTTACAATAAACTTATCATCTATTTTTGTACCATGCATTTCAATTGCCTGTTAGTGCAAAATGTTTTAAAAACTATAAACTTTTTGATGTTTTTAGCTTAAATCTTATCATTAAATTAAGGGGCCCACAATACAATATGTTGCCAGCAGCCACAGCGCAAGCCTCTGTATGAAGAATATTTTGGTTGCAATTTCAATTTAAGGAAACAATCTTTGACCTTGACCCACCGTCCAGCTTTATGATGCTTCCATTCTATTTGGTAACTATCATTCCTGTAGTCCTTAAAAATGCGTTCTGAATATTTAACATATTCATATGATTTTAAAAGTCAAAATAATACAAGATGCTGTACGTTGAGAAGTTTCACTTCCACCCTTTCCCCATCTTCTTAGTTCTCCCTGTCCCCATGAGATAACTACTTTTCTCATTTATATTTCTGACATTTCTTTGTGCAGATAGAATAATGAATACACTGTTATGCACTAGGCTTTTTTGATATAATAATATATCTTGGAACTCTTTCCTTAAACATACATAGTGTCCTCATTCTTCTTGCAGCTGTACGGGATGCCATTGTGGGATGAATCACAGTTGTTTTTTTTTTGAGATGGAGTCTCACTCTGTTGCCCAGCCTGGAGTGCAATGGCTCAATCTTGGGTCATTGCAACCTCCATCTCCTGGGTTCAAGTAATTCTCCTGCCTCAGCCTCCTGAGTAGCTGGGATTATAGACACGGGCCACCACACCCAACTTCAATCCCTAATTTTTGTATTTATCTTAGTAGAAATGGGGTTTCACCATGTTGGTCAGGCTAGTCTTGAACTCCTGACCTCATGATTTGCCTGCCTCAGCCTCCCAAAGTGTTGGGATTACAGGCATGAGCCACTTTGCCTGACTTGAATCATAGTTTTAAAATCTGGCCCCCATTGATGGATGCTTAGCTTGTTTTCAGTTTTTTTGCTATTACAAATAATGTTGTCATGAATAACCATGTACAACTATCATTTCGTATTTGCATTCTCAGACTCATAATTGTTTAGTATTTTTTTTATATAAATGGATATACTATTCGCCAGCATTAGTATTTTTGTGAAATTTGTTTTATTTGTTTATTTAGAGACAGGGTCTGACTCTGCCACCCAGGCTGGAGTGCAGCGGCAGGCACAGCTCACTGCAGCCACAGCTCACTGCAGCGTGGACCTCCCAGGGTCAAGTCATCCTCCCACCTCAGCCTTCCAAGTCTTTGGGACTACAGTCATGCATCAGCACTGCCAGCTAATTTTTGTATTTTTTGTAGAGGTGGGGTTTTCCCATGTTGCCCAGGCTGGTCTTAAACTCTTGGGCTCGAGCAATCCTCCTGCCTCAGCCTCTGAAAGTGTTGGGATTACAGGTGTAAGCCACTGTGCTGGGTCTACTGTGACTTTTTTATTCCTGAAGTCTGCTTATTTCCTTATTTATACTGTGACTCATCTCCTCTCTCAGTGAATTTCATTGTCAAGCAATATTTTTTAGAAGGGCTTATTTGTGCTGTTCCCTTTGAATTATTTCATGGTTAAGAATATCTGCCTATTGTCTTTATACTTCATATTTTTGGGTCATACTTTCTTTTTCTTAGATCATTGTAGAAATTATTTGCTGGCTTTAAATGTTATTGTAAAGAAATTGGATCGAAACGATCCAAGATGGCC